CCCTTCGCCGTTCCCGGAAGTTACTTACTTCCGGGTTCGCCGACCAACCGGTTCGCAGGGACTGCCGCGAACCGGTTGAAACCCACCCCTGGTCCAAAGCCACATATAGTCACATATAAGGGAAGCTATGCTACTTTTTCCTGTCGGGACTTCCAAACCACTATCAAGTTTGGTTTACAGCAAGGCATGAAATCTGTGACTTCATAACATTTGGTTAGAAGTGTTTAATCTTGTCCGTTAGGACTGCCTCCTTCTCCAAAAAATGTCAATTGAACATACAGCTGCCAGGGATGGTTGGTGAACTCTTAATTTGCTCAGTTTTCAGCTCAGTGCTGGGAATTCGTTTGACAGCTTTCTTGGCAAACCTTCCAGTGTATCAATGACCTCCCCTTGGAAAGGGATGAGAAAATGGACACTGAATATAGGCCAGGCTGACTCCCTTCAATGATGGCAGCTTCTCTTACGCCAACCAGAGATAAATCGGCTTATCTTCTGATGACTGGTTTCCCCTTGTGATTTCTTAAATAAGCTAAAACAGAAAAGGGAAATTTATTTTTACATCCTTTTTAACCTTGTTCTCTCTCCTTTTCTCTTTGTTGCCACCCTAAAACTCCCAATTTTCACAGGAAAATCCAGCAGGAAGCAGCAAGAGTCCCTGGGACAGTTTCAAAGCCCCAAGCGATTACCAACATTATACCACCATCAACGTATTAGATTCAGAGGCAAAAGATGCTTTAGAACTAAGACCATCAGAATGGGAAAAGTGTCTGAACTTGCCTTTAGACGTACAAGAAGGTGATTTTCAAACCGAGGTTTAATGAAAAGTAAAACAAACTGAGGCGCAAAGCTTATCCTAGAATCATTTTGTTTGCACTGACGCTCCAGAGACGTTGGGAAGCCTGACCCAGCCTGTTCGGACACCATGGCTAAGGCATATCAGCACCTTCCTAGGCCAGAAGTCAGTGGTTTTCTTGTCACACACAATCGATTTCCACTAGCCAACCTAGTGGAGGCCCCAGGTGTACAATTCTTACCATCGTGTCTTGTAAGTACCCGTGGAATGGATTTGTAAGGTCAATCTTTATAGATAAACCTCAGACAACGGTTCATGTTGTAACAGCTTCATTTGGTTTAGTTTTCAAAAAACTTCACCATGAAGCACAATGTATATATTTATGCAGTTTTTAAAGTTTATAACAGTCTGTTTGGCCATTACTACACTTTTTACTTTATAATATAAAAAAAAAAGAAGAGGAGGTGGTGGAAGAAGCAGAAGAAGCAGAAGAAGAAGAAGAGGATGCAGAGAAAAGCAAAGTTTTGTTGTCATTAAATGAATGTCTGTTGAGCTACATTCTTCATTGCTTTAAATGCAATAAAGTAATAATCTCACTTTTATATGAATAATATATTTCACATCTTTATTATTGCAGTTTTCTCTGGGAAGCTCGGAATAGCTTTTCCTGCTGCAGCTGTGTATAAAATATTTAAAATGTTGTATGGTGTAAATAAACTTTTGTCTACATATCAGTATTTTCAGTGCATTTTATTTTGGATTTGTTGATCTGAAAATTTGCATATTTATAATGTTTTTTTAACAACACTGAAGCCGAAAAATGTACTCAGAATGTTAATAGTGCACTGTTATTACTCCTTGGGGACTAATGATTTCTCAAATGTAATAATAGGTTTGCCAAGCTGTTCTTTTTTCCCCCTAATCTATGAAGGTAACGTACAATGTAAATTGGACATGTGAGAGCATTGCTACATTCATTCTATTATGTGTAATTCGTGGTCCTTTTCCATCTTGCAACAGGAAGAAAATTTCTACATAAACATTGTGCGAGTTTCAGAACACAGAGACTGAGAAAAAAAAATTTTTTTTAATTTACTGCCATCTTACTATAATGACATTTTATGATACTTTCTCCTTTTTTTTCTGTAGCCAACAAAGATGTATTATCTCCTTCAGGACTGGGGTAGCATGATACTTGTGCTAGAAGAAGAATGATTAGAGACTATAGCAATCCACGTGTGATTGACCACTACCTAAATACAGTAGGCAATGGGTGGGGTTCCTGATTTTCTTAACTTCACTCCCAGCAGCCCTAACCCTGTGAGCATTGATGAGGAATTATGGTAACTGGAGTCCAAGAACATCTGAAGGACCAGCCATTGTCTATCTTCTAAGATAGTAGCAAATCACCACTTAACCTCAAGCAGAATGAATATATTTTTACCCAATATTTTGTATGCTGAATTAAATTTTATAGTATGTAAAGAAGGCAGTATTAAATAAATATATGAAATCCAACTGGCCTGCGTGATACAATAAAGACATTTTGAAATGCAAACGTTAGTTAAATGCAGAATCTTCCACCTAGTTGTATCATTTAATCATTTGTCATTGCGATGGTTGTCGACACACTTTTAAAACATCCCTGGATTGGGGGGGGGGGGTGGGGATCTATTGACTTACCTAATGACAAGGAAGGTTTGGATTTTTCCCTCATGACTGCCTTTGACTTTGAGAACCACAAATCACACTTTTTCAAATTCTGGAAGTGACTCCTGTAATTTTATCAATGTATTTGTTCATTCCAGAATATTTATATGGCTGCCCAACTCACTTTCAGTGAGTACTTGAGCATTATGAGAGTCCAAGCAAAACTTGATGCAACAGATACTTTCCTGTTTTTTAAAAAAAGGTAGTGAAGCTGGATGGAGGACTAGTTCAAGGAATAATCTTTGTCCTTGTTGAACTCTCACTCAGAGTCAGCTATCTTGGGCGTATTGCAAGAAATTTCCTCCCAGTGAGCTCTGGCAGGGAGCTCATTCTTCATTTGGCCTCTGGTGGACAAGGTCTCAAATTCTTCTCTTCTACCTGGGTACCAATAAAGCTAAACCTCTCATATATGGGGGTGGGTTTCGGCTTCTGCTACTACTAATTCACTCAGGGAGATGCTGTGGGTGCATGCGTGCTTTCCACGCATGCACAGTAGTAAAAAATGCTTCTGCGCATGTGCAGAAGCAAAAAACAAGGTGGTGGCACCCATGGCGCTGCCGATAGAACAGGTTCAGGGGTGTGGCAGGCCAAGTTACTACCTACTCAGCCGAACCAAGCCAAACCAGTAGGAACCCACCTCTGCTCATATACCTACCTTGCAGTGGTGGGTTTCAATTTTTTTTTAGAACCTGTTCTGTAGGTGTGGCCTGCTTTGTGGGAGTGGCTTGCCGGCCATGTGACCGAGTTGGAATTGCTTGGCAGTCATGTGACTGGGTGGGCGTGGCCAACTTGTAAAATGTGGTGAAACTCACTTAACAATGCTCTTACTTAGCAACCAAAATGTTGGCTCAGAAATTCTGGCATTTGAAGCACGCAAGTCTTAAAGCTGTCAAGTTACAAGACCCTTGCACCCCTTAACCCTTTAGAAAAAAAATCCCCAGGGGTGTTCAAACTTGACAGCTTTAAGACTTGTGGACTTCAACTCCCAGAATTCCTCCTCTCGCTCTTCATCTTGATGATGTGCGGACGGGCGGGGGGAGGGAGCTGGAACCGGTTCTAAACAGCACTTTAATTTGTGGAACCTCTTCTAAAGAAGAGGTTAGAACTGGCAAGAACCCACCCCTGCTACCTTGGCTATTGAGTGTCAAAACAACTATAAACAAAGAGTTCCAAGTGTATGATTTTGAAACCATCGAGTTTGTGCTCCTCCAAATATGGTTTGGTTTGCAATCACTATCTCCTCACAGGAAAATAAGCCCTAGCATGATTTTTCCGTATGCACATAATATAAGCCCTACCCCAAAAAGACAAGTTAAGCCAAATGCATTTAGTATAACTGCATTGCATTGGCGTAACTAATGCCATTTTCAAAAACTAGATGTTTCCACCATCCCTACAGGGCTATGAAGTTGAGCCAGCCTGGCATTTTCCCACCAAGTTTCTACCCATTCTTTCTCCAGAGCTTGTGCTGCTCAGCTCAGGCTGTCAACTCTCATTTGTTAAATGTATGGCATTGTAACTTCTTTATTGTAAGATTAGATTGTGGCAGCCTTCCAGGGGGAAAACAACCCACACAAACTTTGTGCGGTAGTTTCTGCCTTGAGAACAAATCAAACTACACTTTGTTTTCCAATAATCTTTAGGCCTAATCTTTCCCCTTGAAAAATAATTAAAATATATCAATGCACTTATAATATAGTCAGTATTATTATTACTTTTAAATAATTATTTTTTAGACTTTTTAAAAAAAAGCATGCCATAGATTATAAAATTCAACTATTTGTTTAGCTGAATTAATATGACTGCGTTCAAGGACACGGTCAGGTTCATGAAAATGAGTTTTTTTAAAAATTATTAGTATAAATCAGGACTGTGTTGAGGGGTTTCTTCTTTGCTGTATGTATATAATGGCAAAGTTAATGTTCTGATTTTTATTTGTTTATTGCTTTATGATTCAAGCAAAGGTCGCATGCACTAAAGCACACATGGCAATTAAAATGCAGGCAAAACCTTAACATAAAATCAAAACTGCAAGAGGCACCAGTCAGTTTCTATAGGCTAATGCTACAAATGGAAATAATTTCTCCACTGAGCTTCCGAAACATTTTTCATTTAAAAGGAAATCAGTGGTGGGATTCAAAAATTTGTATTACTGGTTCTGTGGGCATGGCTTGGTGAGTGTGGCTTGGTGGGCATGGGGCAGGGAAAGAATACTGTAAAATCTCCACTCTCTCCCCACTCCAGAGGAAGATTACTGCAAAAAAACGTGTTTGACTAAAGCGCGCTCGACGAAACCGCGTAGCTGACATCATCACAGCACGACGAAAAAAGCACGCTGTAAACGCTAAAGCTAAAATTAACCCCTAAACCTAAACCTAACCCTAAACCTAACCCTAAACCTAACCCTAAACCTAACCCTAAACCTAAACCTAACCCTAAACCTAACCCTAAACCTAATCCTAACACTTAACCTAACCCTAACCCTAACCCTGAACCTAACCCTTAACCTAACCCTAAACCTAACCCTAAACCTAACCCTTACCTTAACTTGAATCAGCTTGCTTTCAAAGCGCTATTTAAAGCGCCCTTTTTTTCCGCGGTTGCTGTTGTCGCCCTGCTGATGAAATCAGCGATGCGGTTTAATCGGGCGCGCTTTAGTGGAGCGCGGTTTTGTCATGCCACGCCTGATCAGCTGGGACTTGGGAGGCAGAGAATAGATGGGGGTGGGGGCAGTCAGAGGTGGCATTTATTGGTTCTCTAAACTACCCCAAATTCCCGCCACCGGTTCTCCAGAACTGGTCAGGACCTGCTGAATACCATCTCTGATCTTTTCATCTTGGGGAAATTTTAAATTTAAATAGGCTTATACATTCTGATCTCTAATTGAATATAGTGGGGCATAAGAATTGAGATGCAGACATAACTTCCATGCATATGCACGTACGATTTTCATATAGGAGATTGTTGTCTTGAGGAGTAACAGGTTGGCTCAAATCAGAGAGAATTTTTTTCCTGTACATGATCTTGAACAACTAGTTAGGAAGAATGTAAGGAAAAGGGAAAATTCTACCATAATAAATATGAGAAATGGTTAGCCCTATCCCCCAGAATAGCTAAGTCCCAAATCTCAAAGAAAAAACCCTGCTAAAGTTTCATTAAGCCTTAGGATAAGTATGGTTTTGACCAACCACAATGTATCAATCAATATTCTAAGACAGCTAGGTGGGCTAAGAGACATACAAATTTGGAAGCAAGTTTTTCCATGTTGACCCCAAACTATAGTGATGAGAAGTAGCCAGAAGTAGTTAGTACTCCTCTAAAGCTAGAAACAGAAGCTTCAGTTGGTGGAAGTGGTTAGGACAGCTTTACCAGTAATTGCTGATTATCAGTAATACGTAGAGAGTTCGTTGTCTAAGTGGGATAATAGGAGTCCCTTTCATTTCTCCTCCGTAACTCTCCTATTCATGTGAGAGGCCTGTCTCATGATGTCTGCAGTTCGGCTGTTCAAATCTCACTGGCTCAGGGTTGACTCAGCCTTCCATCCTTCCGAGGTAGGTAAAATGAGGACCCGGATTGTTGTTGGGGGCAATATGCTGACTCTGTAAACCGCTTAGAGAGGGCTGAAAGCCCTATGAAGCGGTATATAAGTCTAACTGCTATTGCTATTGCTATCTAACTGTTTGATCACATTTGTCTGTGATGACATTTGGGGAAAATTGTTCACTCTCAGTCTCCCTTCCCTTCCTCAAGAGGGGAAAAAGAATCTTAAAATAATTAATTCTCTTGAATATTCAAAATTATACCACTCAGATTACTATTATTTTTAAAAATCTAATCAACCTTTGCAAACATTTTTTAAAAATGTTTTGAAGTTTCAACTGCTAACCAACATTTATAGTCTCGTTTGAAACAATACTGAGTTGGACACCTGGCCCTCCAAGTTGGCTTAAGCATAGGCATTGTCACAGCGTTAGTTATCATTGTTCGTAAACCAGGCAATTATGGAGAACAAGGCTATTATTCTTGCGTAGTCTGGAAGACATCTTGAGTATGTCTATGCAGACTACAGATTACAGTCTTTCTCTGCTCCACTCACTATTAATTCTATACAATTAGCTGTGTAGAATGCCTTATTCTAAAAATACATCGCTAGGATCTACCCAAATATAGGTACTTTTAACGTGCAAGAATTAATAATTTAAAGGTTGTAGTCTTAGCTGGGAATGGAAATAAACTCCATTAAGGTCAAGTCTACTTTTGGGCTATAAAGTCATGTGGTTTAAAATGCTGGTATGAAATGAACTGT